CCAGACTCAGCACTCCCAGGCTCAGCACCCCCAGACGCAGCACCCCCAGGCTCAGCACCCCCAGACGCAGCACCCCCAGACTCAGCACCCCCAGGCTCAGCACCCCTAGACGCAGGACGAGAGTCAACAGCTACCTCGACAGGCTCACCCGGGTCTACCTGGGACACACCTGAGGGAGCGGCACCCTGAGGGGGGAGGGGGTCTGGTACCTCAGCACCTGGAGCGAGGAAGAGAGGCGGGGGGGGGGAGCGGGGCAGTGCGGTAGGGGAAGAGGCGGTAGTAGGGGACGGACTCGTCAAAAGTGACGTCCTGAGAGGCCAGGACACGCCGCGAGGTGGGGTGGTAGAACTGCCAACCAGGGGCGTCCGGGACAAAGCCAAGGAAGACGCAGGGGACAGCGCGACGGGAGAGCTTGTCCGCGGACGTGTCGCGGACAAAAGCTCGGGATCCCCAGACCCGAAAACGCGACGCATCGCCAGCCTCTCCCGTCCAACGCAGTGTTGGAGAAGTCTCGGGCAAGGAGACACGGGGCCAGAGGTTGAGCTGATGCGCAGCGTATCGGACTGCAAACGGCCACAGAAAGTGGGGGGCAGCCGCATGAACCAAGGAGGTACGAGCGACCTCCATGACCAAGCCAATGCGGCGCTCAGCAACCCCATTCTGCTGTGGAGAGGCCGGAAGCGTGAACGACTGCTCAATGCCCTCCTGCTGACAGAAGGCCTCCAAGAGGCCAGAGGAAAACTCTCCACCTCTGTCAGAGTGCAGACGCAGGACAGGGAAGTCGGAGTGGAAACGCTCACTGAGCTGGAGACGAGATCTGCGGATCCAAGGGATCAAGACATCAGGGACGTCACCCTTGGTGCACAAGGGGAAGACCGTGGTGTAGCGCGAGAAGTCGTCAACAACAATCAGGAAGTACCTCTCCTGACCCTGGCCACGGACGCGGGCTGGGCCCCACACGTCCATGTGGAGCGTCTGCAAAGGAGCAGTCGTCGGGGGAAAGGAGGAGGAGTGAGGAGCGGCGCGCTGCCGCCCCTCGACACAGGGAAGACAGGGAGGAGCAGGCGAGGCTGGAAGGGGAGGGAGCACCCTGGGAAGACCAGCAACAAGGTCCCGTTTGTGCATGGCCCGAAGGCGCTGCACAGACGGGTGACCAAGGCGGTGGTGCCAAAGGACAGTCTCATGCGCCAGAGAGCGACACGAGCAGGGGGCGGACAGCTGACCTGACGCAGACGCAGACGCAGACGCAGCTACCTGAGGGGACTCAGTGGTCAGTGTGTACAGGTCCGACCCCGGCTCCCGAGTGAAAGTAGCCAGGTGGCGGCCCGTCCGAGCACACGTGCAATGTGTCACACGCTCGTAGGCAGGGGTGAACTGGTGAACACCCCCGTCCTGCAGAGCACAGCCCGCCACCAAGTTCGTAGAGAACGAGGGGAGGTAGAGACCTGACAGCGTGCCGGACGGGACCGCAGGACAAGGAAGGACAGTGGAGGAGGTCGCAATGACCGGACCCCCAGAGGGGTCAGCAAGGGAGACAGCAACTGGCCGAGCGAGTGGCTCAAGGACAGTGCGGTCACGAAAGAAAGAGCGAGAAGCACCTGAGTCCAGGGTGAAGGTGTGCAGTGCTGCAGTCGACTCAGTACCAGGGGGCACGGACGCACGAGCACCTAGGGCTGCAGCCCCACCAGGACCTGTGGGAGGAGACGCACTAGCACCTAGAGCGGCAGCCGGACTGGCCTGAATGCCCGGGTCGGGCGGAACACGCAAGTACTGAGCACCCTCTCCACTAATAGACATCGCATACATGGCAGTGAGAATAGCATCAAAGTCTAAAGCCCAAATATCAACACCCCTCTTTTCCAGATCAGCCCAGCGCGGCAGCTCAGTGGCAGCAGGAAACTGAGTGCGCCACGCGTCGTTAAGGCGCGCGAAGCAGCGCTGCGTGGGGTGCGGCCTCCCACACTGCTGGCCGCTGCGGTCACCTGTGCGAATGACGTACGTGCAGGTAAAGCTACGCTGCGCATACCACTCACGGGCGGCCTGAAGCGTCGGGGCGGGCTGCTGACTCTGCCCTCCGCCAGTGCCTCCACGACCACCACCCCCACCGCCGCCGCCCCGGCCACCTCCACCCCTGCCGCCGCCACGACCACCTCCGCCTCCGCTGCCGCCTCCACCACCACTCCCACCGCTGCTGTCTCCTCCCCCACTGCCGCCACTAGTCTCCCCAGCCGCGCCTCCACTCCCACCGCCTCCACCCCCACCTCCTCCGCCGCCACCCCCACCCCGGCCGCCCTTGTTCCTGCGGCGCCCACTCGAAGCAGACGCGGTCCCGACCTTCTCAGCACCAAGAAGGTCGACAGCAGCAGCAGAGGCGACAGAGGGGAGGAGGGGGGAAGGGGAACACCCCTCAAAGAACGGGGTGCGGGGGTCGCCACGAGAGGTGCCTACAGTGACGATGCTCGCCTCAGCTGCAAGCAGTTCCTTCTCGAGGAGGGCAACAGTGAGCTCAGTGGGGGAGCGAGAGAGGAAGTGGTCCCTGACTGCGCGCAGAGAGTCAGGAAGGCGGGTGACGATGTGGTAGAGAGTGATCCAGAGCGGGGGGGGGTTGCTAGTGAGAAACTCGGCAGGCATAGCAGCGCGAAAGCGGGCCTCACTAGTCTTAAGGTGGGTGATGAGGTCTGCGACAGTGTGAAAGGAGGCTAGGTCGGGGAACAGGTAGGGGAGAGTGAGGCGGCCTAGCGTGGCAGAAGCGGGCGAGGAGTAGCGGGCAACTACAGCGGTGTAGAGGTCCTTAGCAGTCTTGCACTGGCCGAAGTGCTCGCGCTCGTCTAGCGGCAGGGAGTTGCGAATAGCAAAGCGAGCGTGCGCATCACGGGTCTGCCACTGGGAACGCAGAGTGCTGTCAGCAGTCGAGTCAGGGGCAGTGGCATGGCCTAGGGCGTGGTCGTACAGTGAGATATCTTCCTTGGCAGTGAGCTGTAGGAACAGGTGCAGGTCATCTAGCCAGGTTTCGAACTTCACTGGACGGCCCTCGGCATCGAAAGCTAGAACTGGCGGGCTAGCCATAGTGACAGTAGCAGTAGTAACAGTAGTAGTAGGAATCAGGCCGCTGAAAAGGTGTGCGGAGGGTCAACGGGGCCGGCGGGGCCGCTAGGCAAGGCGCGGGCGGGGTCGACTGTCCGTAGTGGCACACGAGCGGCAGTAGTAGGTAGCGTGGCAGCAGGAGCTGCAACGGTGCACTGGTGGCAGCTGCAGTGGCAGCAGTGTGCGCGGTAGGTAGAAGATAAACAACAGTGAGAGCGAGTGCCTCGCGGGCGGCGGCTGCAGAAGCGCACGGGCGGCAGCGGCGCACTGGGAACGGCGGTGCACGGGCAGCGGCAGCGCACGGGCAGCGGCAGCGTAGGAGCAGCGACGGCGCACGGGCAGCGGCGGCGCACAGGCAGCGGCGGCGCTCGGGAGGCAGCAGTGCGCAAGCAGCAGCGGAAGCAGCGGCGTACGAGCGGCTGCGGGCAGCGGGGCGTGCGCTAGCAGGCGACGGGCGGCTGCGGGGCGTGCGCGAGCAGGCGACGGGCGGCTGCGGGGCGTGCGCGAGCAGGCGACGGGCGGCTGCGGGCGGGCGGCCGCTGCGACAGCGGGCTGCGGGCCTGCGGGACGTGCGCGAGCAGGCGACGGGCGGCTGCGGGGCGTGCGCGAGCAGGCTACGAGCGGCTGCGGGGCGTGCGCTAGCAGGCGACGGGCGGCTGCGGGGCGTGCGCGAGCAGGCGACGGGCGGCTGCGGGGCGTGCGCGAGCAGGCGACGGGCGGCTGCGGGGCGCGCGCGAGCAGGCGACGGGCCGCGCGCGAGGGAAATAAGGCGCGCGCGGGGAAAAAAAAAAAAGACCGCGCGCGAGCGGCTAAGGGGCGGCGCGACGGGGCCTTAAGGGGCGGGTCGCGGGTCGCGGGAGGTAGGGGCCGTAAAAAAAAGTTCGAGGCGCCCTAGGTAGGTAGGTAGGTAGGTAGGGAACGGTGGGCCCTTAAAAAAAACGGTCCTAGCGAAGGACCTGCTCTGAAACCATGTCAGAATGAACGGACAGGAATGACTGTACTAGCACAAAGTTGGATACAAGTAGTAAACCCTAATCTAGTGTACCCCCTAAGGTGTAACCCACTACAGCCTACAATCATATAAACATATAATGTTTGACAGAGGACACTCGCAACTTGCTATTCCAGCGCAGGGGCACAGCAACCGGTTTTCTGGAGCTGACGGTATTGACGATCACATTTCATCAAAGGGTGGAGCGCTATAACGCGATTTTCAAGGCCCGAAAATTCCAGTGTTGGAAGGTGATGAAGAGAATTGTGTTGGAAGTGTGGGGGACGAGTTTGCCCCCCACGCGAAAGACCTCCCTTGACTCGGACCAAGGGAGGGTTCCACTCGGAAGTTTGGGTGACGGCGGATTGCCCGCGTCGCCACTCAACCGAGTTCGCCCTTGGTTGGGTCCGAACGTTTGTGAGGGCGACACTTGGCAGCCCCACAAAGCACAAACGAAAATAGCGAGAGTTTAAGCGAATGTGTTGAGCACTTCGCTACACTCGCTATTGTTTCGTGTAACACACGCATTTGGCGTGTTGAAATGAACTCGGCAAGGTCCGAAAATGTGAACGCGGACGTCGCGGAAATTCGACGTCCCAAGTCCGAATTACCGTCGAGTCGCGCGCGGTTCGATGTTACAATTGTGCTTGCATGTTTTAGCTATAAAACCAGAGAGAAATCCAGAGAGTTCATCTTCAATTCGTAGCTTGTACCCAGCCATACATATTATACAATTGCTCTCTTGCTACTTGGGCGTTTTCATTGATCTCAAGTGCTACGGAATCCTTGCTCCGAGCCCGTCGTATCGATCCTAGGCTCTGCCTCTAACTCGCCAATTTGATTCTGTGGCGCTGCTGAAACAGGAGCGGATTCTTTCATGGTATGAGAGCTAGATTAGGAGTGCTCGCTTTATCGTTGCTACGCCATGGGTTCCTCCGATAATTCGTCGACGACGAATGCGCCAACGGTCCCTTCCCTCCCGGCGGACTTCTCGACAACGCCGCACGTTGTCGACTTGAGCGCGGTGCCGATTTTCAACGGGGAGCATTTCTCCTCGTGGCGATACAAGCTCAAGGTGTATATGATGGAGCGCGACTTGTGGGGCTTCTTCGATGGGTCGGCATCGAAGCCCACGTCGGACGCTTCAGCCGCGGAGAAGGAAGTGTGGGTGCGAAAGGAAAAAAAGACGTTTGCCTTTCTTGTCTCTAAGCTAAGCCTCCAACTCGTCCCGATCGTGAGTCCGTGCATCGACCGTGACGGCGCGACTCGTGAAGCGTGGAAGCGACTCGAAGGAGAGCACGTCTCCAAGTCGCTTCATAGCAAGCTTCAAGCGCGCCTCGACTTCTTCACGGTGCGGATGAGGGACGGCGAGTCAATGCGCGCGTACGTCAACCGCGTGGAGGAGCTTGGCGAGCGTTTGGTGGAACTTGATGCGAGCGTGGAGGACAACGATTGGATCATGACGCTCCTCGCGGGCCTCGACGAAGCATGGTCAACGATGATTACGATGTTGGATGGGACGCAAGATACGTGGAAGAAGGAGCAAGTGGTGGCACGACTGATCAACGAAGAGGCGAGGCGCACGAAATTGCATGGCGATGCAATTGGCGCGGCACACTTCTCCCATGATGCGAAGGCGAAAGGGACGGGTCACTTCAAGCGGCGCAACGACGGCAACAACCGCGGGAGCTCGAGCGGGAGCGCGGCGGCCTCAAGCTCATCACGAGGAGGACCGGCCAACGCCAATTGAGCTCGGACGCACGACGGAGCTTGTCGTTTTTGCAAGAAGACCGGACATTGGTGGCGCGAATGTCCCGTCAAGCCGGCAAATTGGAAGCCGTCAAGCGACGACAACCGGCGCGCGCATGTGGCGATATGCGACAACAACGACCGGGAGTTCGTCTTCGTCGCAAGTGGAACGACCGTCGGTGGTGTTGACGCGTGGATGCTCGACACGGGTGCTACTCAACACATGACGGCGTGTGCGACGCTTCTCAACAACGTGACAACGGAGGCTCCCGTTAAGCGCGTGATGTTCGGCAACCGTGACACGTTGGACGTCACGGGACAAGGCGACTTGCGGCTCATGGTGGACGGCGGTCCACTCACCATCAAGAACGTCTTGGTGGTTCCCGGGCTCGGCGCCAACCTCCTCTCCGTTTCTCAACTCACACGCAAGGGGATACGTGTGAATATCGAAGGGACTATGATGGCGTTGAGCGCGGCGGATGGCGTACACATCGGCACGGCACGCCAAACGGGAGGACTCTTCATGCTCAACGCTCTCTCAAGTGTGGCGACGGCGCAAACGGCTACCTCGACAACTACTCTCTCAACGTGGCCACCTCCACCACGCCACTTTTCAAGCTCTGGCAACGAAGGGGATTGTCCAAGGCTTGGAGTTTGTGCGCTCGGGTGGGGACGACGAGAAGTGTGTCGGTTGCCTTGAAGGGAAAATGGCACGGAAGCCATTTCCACCAAGCACGAAGCCGAACGCCACCGAACCTCTCAAGCTCGTTCACACGGACTTGTGTGAACCGATCACTCCTGCGTTGAAAGGCGGCGCGCGCTACATTCTCACGCTCCTCGACGACGCGACGCGGATGTGTTGGATTCGGCTTCTCAAGAACAAGGCCGCCACGTCAACCGCCATCAAGCAATGGGTCGCGGATGTGGAGACGAAAAAAACGGCTTCAAGGTGAAGCGTTTTCGCTCGGATGGAGGTGGCGAATACACCGCTCGGGAGCTCGGCGATTGGTTGAAAGGGCGTGGGACCGCGCATGAGTTTTCTGCGCCGTACACGCCTCAACAAAATGGAGCCGCCGAACGCTTGAATCGCACGCTCATGGAGTCGGCACGAAGTCTCCTCTCCCATGCTCACGCGGAGAAGCATTGGTGGGGAGAGGCGGTTACGTTGGCAACTTGGATTCGCAACCGGTGCGTGACCAAGGCGTTGCCCAACAAGACGCCTCTTGAGGCTTGGAGCGGTACGAAGCCGGACGTCACCGACCTTCGCACGTTTGGGTGTACGTGCTACTACCATGTCCCGGATGCTACACGGACCAAGCTTGAGGCGAAGGCGCGGGTGGCGATGTACTTGGGTCCAAGCGCGGATCACAAGGGGTGGCGCGTGTGGGACTTGGAGCACGGGAAACTCGTGGTGTCGCGCGACGTGGTGTTCTACGAAGACACCTTCCCCTCCAAGTCTACGAACGTGCCCTCGGTCATCATCGTCCCTCCACCCTTGGATGCCGCGGATGAGGCGGATGAAGCTCCTACGACTCCTCCTCCTAGTGCGAGTGAGGGGGAGAATGGATCGGGTGCGGTTGGAGTGAGTGAGGATGAAGGAAATGCCAAGGAACGTGACCCTTCGTCTCATCCTCCTCGTATCACTCCCACCCTCGCATCCACTCGCACTCGAAGGAACCCTCATCCCAACTCCAAGTTCGATGACCACTCTCTTGTGGCGGGGGACGATGAGGGAGGGGGAGACGCTATGTGTCTTGAGGCGTACACCGACACCCCGTCCACCTACCATGGCACCCTGAGCTCGGCGGAAGTGGCGGAATGGGAACGTGCGCTTCAAGAAGAGTATGATTCACTCATGGCGAACGACGTCTACGAGCTTGTCCCCATGCCTCCCGGCGCCTACCTCGTTGGCTCTCGTTGGGTCTTCAAGAAGAAGCTCGGCCCCAACGGAGAAGTGGAGCGGTACAAGGCGCGGTTGGTGGCGCAAGGTTATATTCAATCACTACAACGAGACGTTCGCTCCCGTCGCTAAGTCCGCTACGTTGCGCACCCTCTTGGTGTTGGCGGGAGCACTCGACTTGGAGGTGGAACAACTCGACGTGAAGACGGCGTTTCTCTACGGTCGTCTCAAGGAGGAGGTGTACATGAAGCAACCTCCCGGGTTCGACGACGACTCCGACTGTGTGTGCAAGCTCAAGCGCACCATCTACGGCCTCAAGCAAAGCCCTCGTGCGTGGTACACGAGGATTGACGAACACCTACTCTCATTGGGGTTCGTGCGGAGCGAGTGTGACCACGCGCTCTACGTGCTCAACAAGGACGAGAAGAAGCTCGTTCTTCTCCTCTACGTCGACGACCTCCTTCTCGTGTCGGATTCCAAGGCACTTGTAGCGGACGTGAAGGAGAAGCTTGCCGCCGAATTCTCCATGCGTGACCTCGGCGCCGTCTCCCACTACCTAGGGATGCACATCGATTGTGATCGAGGGAACAAGACCCTCGCCCTCCACCAACACAAGTACTTGGAGAGTGTGGTGGATCGCTTCGGCATGATCGAGAGCAAGCCTACACCGACACCCATGGAAGCGGGGTTTCATCCCTTGGCCGTGAGCGATGAGAACCCGATGGATCCCGAGAGCGCCAAGACCTTCCACTCGGTTGTTGGGTCTTGCATGTATGCCGCGGTGAGCACACGACCCGACCTCTCCTTTCCCGTTGGAGTGCTTGGGCGTGTCGTCTCCAACCCCATGGTCGAGCATGTGCGAGCGTCACGACGCCTCCTTCGCTACATCAAGGGGACCACTCGTATGGGGTTGCACTACGAGAAGGGACCCGTGGTGCTTCAAGGCTACACGGATGCGGATTGGGCGGGAGATCCTTCAATACGCCAAAGCACCTCAGGCTATATCTTCACCCTCGTGGGAGGTGCAATAAGTTGGCAAAGCAAGCGCCAAAACTTAATTGTACTTAGCTCCACCGAAGCGGAATACGTGGCGCTCACTCGTGGTGGTACGGAAGCGGTTTGGCTAAGGCGCCTTCTTGCCGAGCTTGGGCACAAACAAGAAGGCCCCACTCCCATCTACGTGGACAACCAAGCCGCTATTGGCCTAGCCAAGAACTCGGTCCTTCATGGAAGGACCAAGCATATTCAAATCCGCCACCACTTCATTCGCAAGCTCGTTGAAGACAACGAAGTCGAGCTTCGTTACATCAAGACCAACTCCCAACCCGCGGACTTCCTCACCAAGCCATTGCCTAGAGATGCTCTTCATGCATGTTGTGCTAGGGTAGGCTTGCATGCTTAGGTGTGCGTGGGGTGCAAGGGGGAGTGTTGGAAGTGTGGGGGACGGGATTGCCCCCCACGCGAAATACCTCCCTTGACTCGGACCAGGGTTCTACTCGGAAGTTTGGGTGACGGCGGATTGCCCGCGTCGCCACTCAACCGAGTTCGCCCTTGGTTGGGTCCGAACAGTTGAGGGCGACACTTGGCAGCCCCACAAAGCACAAACGAAAATAGCGAGAGTTTAAGCGAATGTGTTGAACACTTCGCTACACTCGCTATTGTTTCGTGTAACACACGCATTTGGCGTGTTGAAATGAACTCGGCAAGGTCCGAAAATGTGAACGCGGACGTCGCGGAAATTCGACGTCCCAAGTCCGAAATTCCGTCGAGTCGCGCGCGGTTCGATGTTACAATTGTGCTTGCATGTTTTAGCTATAAAACCAGAGAGAAATCCAGAGACTTCATCTTCAATTCGTAGCTTGTACCCAGCCATACATATTATACAATTGCTCTCTTGCTACTTGGGCGTTTTCATTGATCTCAAGTGCTACGGAATCCTTGCTCCGAGCCCGTCGTATCGATCCTAGGCTCTGCCTCTAACTCGCCAAGTTGATTCTGTGGCGCTGCTGAAACAGAGGCGGATTCTTTCAAACTGTGACAGCTTTTTTGTTTGCATGCACGGACGTATGAAGGCATCAAACGAAGGAAGGCGTCGCTAAACAAGAGACACGTGGCCAAGCAACACCTGGCCAAGGATGAGGTTGCAGCGCTTGAAATTGCCGGCACGCGGATGGTTAACAAGCTTACATGGTGTGACGAGTTCTTGTTGATTTGGACGGACCGGAGGGCCAGGTACAAACCGCCGTAGATGGCTATGAGGGACGGCTCTCTCACTATGTGTAATTACCCCCCTCTTGCAACAATTACGACTGTAGCCCTTTTTGCTGTATCCTTTATATAGTGAAAAACCTTCTTAAAAAAGATGTTGTACGGTACTTCTTTGCAAATCAAATTCCTTTGCGCTCTGATATGTGTCACCTCCGGTCAAAACTCAATATTGAGTTCTCTGAGGTGGATGTAGAGAAATGAGTAGGTTTTTTTCTAAGGTAAAATACACTTCTAACTACCCTGAGTTATTCACACCCTCGATAACGTCACGCTCGCTAACGTCCCTAAACCTTCGTGTGGAGGGGCAACGTGCACATCATGCGGCACCGCGATAATGACACAGCAATCTAGGCGGTTCGACTGATGGTCAATCAATCCATGGTCGATTCGACGGGCGCTTGTGCGCGCCTCGGCACTCCCCAAACTTGCCCCACATTCGTCCAATCAGCTTTGGGAATCTTGAACCAGCGTCGCGATTCGGCGCCTCGAAATGAACAGCACACAGGTTCCATCAGCGGCACACCCCCCCCTCTTGCGGCCTGCCCGCCTTGATTCGTCCTTTCTGCCCTTCCCCCCCCATCCCCCGCTCCCCCTCCTATCCCCTGCTGCTGCTATCAACCATCTGTATGTGGCACAAAGATCACCAAGCAGGGCTATTGCTAGGATTTTTGCTAGCTCGGACGATCCGGGCCCCTGTGAAAAAGACCCTGTAAAATACGAGCCAGCAGGAAAAAAACCTTCACGAATCCGGGTTCGTGCCAGATAAGGCCTGAAAACTACCTACCAGAATCTCACGGAATGGGGAAATGATCGTGAAACTCACAGTGGGTGGCACGAAGGCTGGGAAGGTTGGAGATTTAAGAGCGGCACTAGAGGGGGGGAGCGAGACTTTCTGTCGACTTAAAAATGTTTATATGTGGAGGAGTACTACTTCTTGCCACGTCAAAGCAGTACCGGAAATCAAACACCTGAAGGCCAAACCAGGAGCGAATGCCAAGGATATTCACTGAAAGTGGCCTATGCATTGTACACGGGGAGAGGGAGGGGATGCGAAGTAGTTCGAGGACTATAAGTGCTGCTAAAACTATCCTCTTCCCCTCAAAAACATCCCGGAGTGATCCGAGTGGGCTCGAAAATCACCCTTCAGGTTTACGGGCTGGTCCGAAAATCACCTTGTGAAAATCAGGGCTGCTCTAAAAATCACCTTATAATTTCAGTCAAAACAGGGTAATTGCCCTGATAACATAGGCCCTGTCACCAAGCCAAGCGCAATGTCAACTTGATAGTGTCGCAACCTAGGATCTCCCCGAGCCATCTCTCACCAACCTCTAGGTGATAAGACAGTCGTTCGATGTCCACAGTAACAGATTCCAAGAGCCATTTGATTCTGTCCGTCAACTGTCCTGTCAATCGACCAAGTCCTCTCACCTTAGGTGACACTGTCACGCACCACGCAAATGCGATGCGTTTCTGGCGTTATCTCATCGCTAACTTGTCACCGGAGCGACCTCTGGGCAAACCGTGCTCACAGCTTCTAGATTCCGTACATTTCTAGTTTCCGAAACGCAGTCTCCATAGATATTACCACCATTATTGTCTCTTTCAATAGGACCACATCCACCATGTCGACTTCACCCACCCAGTCCGCCTCCTCGAATCCTCTCCTGCCTTCCCCTGAACCTTCTTCTGACGCCGTTTTAAGCATCCCCGACAAGCTGCAAACAACCAGCCCCGTTAAAAGATCAGCCAGTTCCCGGCAGGCCGCGCCGGCGAAATCACCTTCACACAGCCCCACGCGCTCGACCTCCGCTCCCGCCTCGCACGCCGTCCCGCTCGGCGACATTCCCGGTGCTTCTTCTGTCGCGTGGCTGCGCGACACGTGGCATGAGCACGCCAACCGCTCATTGGCGCTCGCTACGAAGCTCACCGGGTTTCAAGGCTGCCCATCTCCCGTCGGAACCCCTGGTTCCCTGACCAATGGCGCTGCATTTTCCTTTTCGTCGTCCTCTCTCTCATCATCTCTCCCGTCTTTCAGTAAAAGTAGTTCCTTCATCAGTACTGCTGGTTCTCTTTGTGGAAAGAAGCGGCTCGCGAGCTCCCGGGAGATCTGGGTCGTTCTCCTCTCCTTCCTCTCGCTGCTTCTCCTCGCCGACATGCTGCGAAAGAACCACATGTTACTGTTACAATCCGCGACCGTGGGGATCGAGTTCCTCTTCGTTCTCTCGCGCGAGAGCGTGTACGCGCGTGGCTTGCGCGTGCTCTCCGCGTGGGAGAGAGACTCCGGAGTGCGCTTCGCCAACGTGGCAGTGGTCAACATGGAGGAAGAGGAAATCGCGCGCTTCAATATGACGCGTCGATTATTCCCCTTGGCGGTTCCGCACGCGCCGGGCCATTTAGAATGGAATCACCTGTATCCAGAGTGGATCAACGAGACGATACCAAACAGCTGCCCGTATCTGCCCGAAGCGCGCTGGCAGAGCGGGCGAAAGCAGGCGGACGCGCTATTGGCTCGAGTGGAATGTCGCGAGCCGGTAACCGGATGGGCGAAGGACGTGGAGTGGCAGCACATGTTACTGTCGCTGGCGAATCTCGTCGTTCAGGCAAGTCGTTTCGTTCTGGTGCCGGATTATATGCATATCGTCATGCTTTGATGTCTCTCACACATTGCCACTCATTGGCAATCGTACGCCTCTCTCCCCACCAGCGGGTGACGCCCACTTTCCCCCTTCTTCCTCCCCTTGCGTATGCCCAATACACCCCCCCCCCCCCCCCCCCCCCCCCTCTCCTCTCCTTTCTCCCTCCTCCCTCCTCCCCTTTCTCCCTACTCTCCCTCACCCGCCACTCAATTCGATTTTCCCTGTGCGTACCACCGACCCCCAACCCCCACCCCTATTCTGTCTTTCAGGCCGATAAGCCGTGGATGCCGCTCGTCCTCATTTCCGACTGCCGGCCGCCGTTAAATCTCCTGCCGTGCGACCGGCTGGTTAAACGGGACGGGCCGGTCTGGCTGTACAACCTGACGGCCAGCGATCTCAGAACTCGGCTGCAACCGGCAGGATCATGCGCCATGGCGCAACCGACACTGACGGCCGAGGGTGAGTAAAATGCACGGTCAGTAAGAACACACTCAATAAATAAATAAATCACTTGTTACATCGCGTACTGATACATTAATGTGGCAGTGATTTTGTTTTGGTTGCTGATCGAACTGCACAATGTAACTCGTCTCCCTCAGCCCCCCTCCACCCCTCTTCCTCACTTCTCCCTCGTCTCCTCCGCCAGAGCCGCCCGCTATAGGCACAGTGGCGTACGCGACGGTGCTTCACACGGTGGAGAACTACGTGTGCGGCGCGATCGTGCTGGGGCACAGCATTCGGCGCAGCGGCAGCCGCCACGACATGGTGGCGCTGGTTTCACCGGAAATCACCAACCGCAGCCGCGACGCGCTGCGCGAGGCGGGGTGGATCGTGAAGGAGATCGAACGGATCAGAAACCCTTACGGCAGCAAGACGTCGTACAACCAGTACAACTACAGGTACAGTAGATTCAGTGAAACTACAGTACAGATACAAATTAGGGGTGCTAAACATCGCTCATTCGTTAATTGTTCATATTCGTGGATCTGCTTCCTCCCTTCAACACCCTTCACCCTCTTCACCCTTCACCCTTTCTGCTTTCAGCAAGCTGCGCCTGTGGCAGCTAACAGAATACGCGAGGGTGGTATTCGTGGACGCGGATCTGCTGGTGCTGCGCAATCTCGATCATCTCTTTGCCTTCCCCGACGTGGCGGCGCGAGGCAACGATCAGACGGACTTCAACTCGGGCCTCATGCTGCTGCGCCCCTCCCTCTGCACCTTCCGCGAGCTGCTCGCCAACGTCCACACCATCCGCTCTCCCAACGGCGGTGACCAGGTGGGTGCATGCACGCTTGAAATGGTGTGGGTTGGGTACGGTTTGGAATGGTTGGGGATGGGTTTCTTGATGCCCCTCCAACTGCACCTTCCGCGAGCTCCTTGTCAACGTCCACACTATTCGCTCAGCCAACGGGGGTGACCAGGTGAGGCCATGGTCCTGGAGAAGGGATTATTGATGGCTGTGGTGGGGACGGTTGGGTTTGGCTGGAAACAGCTGGGGATGGTTGGGGATGTCTGCTGATGGCTGGTTCCCTTTTTCCCGGCCAATCTCCTGTGGCACCACTTGCTCAATCGCTCCCACTTTCACCCATCTTTACCCCTCTCAACCCCTCTCCCACCCCTCTCAACCCCTCTCAGGGCTATCTGAACAACATCTTCACGTGGTGGCACCGCCTGCCCAACTCGTACAACACTCTGAAGCACATCTGGGCGTCCGACCCCCACGACCGAGCGGTCGAGCTGGAGATGAAGAACCGGTGGTTCTCAGAGGAGCCGGCGGAGATCCACACCATCCACTACCTCTCTCAATCCCCCACTCACCCCATTCCTTCCCCAACCCTTCCCCACCCTTCTCAATCCCTCTCAGGGCTACTTAAACAACATTTTCACGTGGTGGCACCGCCTGCCCAACTCGTACAACACTCTGAAGCACATCTGGGCGTCTGACCCAAAGGAGCGAGCGCTCGAGCTGGAGATGAAGAACCGGTGGTTCTCAGAGGAGCCGGCGGAGATCCACACCATCCACTACCTCGGCCGCAAGCCCTGGCAGTGCTACCGCGACTTCGACTGCACGTGGCTGTACCCTTGGGACCATAATTTCGCTAACGAAGCAGCTCATAAGCGGTGGTGGGCCATGCATGATACCATGCCGGATAGCCTGCAGCAGATGTGCTGGCTGAGGAATGAGGACAAGACGGAGATGGAGTATAGAAAGAGGGGCCTTGAGGCTAAGAACGCGCCTCCGGGGTTTTGGAATTTCACTGTGACGGATCCGAGAAAGGATTACTGCTTCCCCGGGCAGAAGACGTGCAAGTGGGAGCTTTACCTGGAACACTGGGCGCGGCGGTAGGGCGAACCTGAGGGTCTTCAAGGGAAGGTGGTTGGTGCAAGATTAGTGTTTCCCCAGGCAAAAGACGTGCAAGTGGGAGCTTTACCTGAAGCACTGGCAGTGGCGGTAGGGTTAAGCAGTCATGCTTCCACGAATGGATTCCTGCTGTATTGGTTTCTGGGCAGAGGACGTCTGGGCAGAAGACGTGCAATTGGGAGCTGTACCTGGAGCACTGGCAGGGGCGGTAGGGAGCAGTATTCTTTCTCTGTGGAGCTGAGACAGGGAGAGAAGCGGTTGGGAGCTGTACGGAATGGTAGTTAAGAGTGATTCAAGAGGCGGTCAAACCAAACAGGCTAGATTATAGGAGGCAGTGGTTTAGGGCTCCGATTGAGCCACCTAGATGAGAAAGGCGATATGTTTACTAGGTCTGGAGAGGCAACCATGGAGAGTGCCTCTAGTGAGGGATGATGTGACTAAGAGTTTGGGTTGCAGGCGTGGCAGGCGGGCCTGCTCAAAGGCAATTTCGTGCAAGGACTTGGTGGGGTGAAAGTAGAGCTGGTATGAAAGTTTCAGTAGAGTTGGTACAGTAGCTTGTGCTAAACTCCTATGGAGCAAATATTCAAATGGAGAATTAAGCAATCTGTGAAATGGAAATTTGAGGAGCTCAAGGTCTTGCGGTATGCTAGACATGCATATCTTGGCATCATCTTCAATCAAAGTTGCTGGTATACATCATTCAATTTAACCGAGACAGGGTATGAGACATCATTGCACACTGGCTCGTTCGCCCCTGGTAAGAGCAGACAGTGGCTTAGAATATCAGATATCATGACACAAATTACTTTAGCAAGTTCAATCAAACATTTGTGCCAAACATGAAGCGTCTAAAACTTTTCAGAGCCAGTACAATGGGCTGATGCAATAGCATAATATAAATGATGATTATACAATGCATAGGTGATTTCCAGGGGGAATTCACAAGGGGACCTACAGAGGATCTACTTGAAAGCAACTAAAGGTGCATAAATCAAACTAGCAAATCATACAAACCAGGTTATATTAATCCTACACCCAACCTCGACTCCTCACTTGGTGATAATGAGCGGCCGCATCATGTCATTCTCCTCGTGCTCCAGCATATAGCCTGGGCCGAGGCTCGCATCAAAGTCGAAAGTCTTCGCCCCCGACTGCTGGTAGAACGGAGTGTAAATCGTGAGCACCTCGCCAGGGAGCGCCCTGGTTGTGTCCTTCCACCCGCGCTCATTGGGGTCGACGTCAACAGCCGGGCCAGTGTAGCAGCTGGGCTTGGTCTTGTCCTTAAACGAGCACTTGCCCGCCGTGTACTTGGCGACGTCGAAGGGGCGGCGCGAGATGGGGCGGTGCTGGATGAGGTGCAGGTGCATGGCGTGCGCGTCCGCGCTCAGGTTGATGATGTTCCACAGCTCCGTCGTGCCCTGCAGGAAAAGCGGGGACGGAAGCAGGAATGCCACAGCAGGGTTCAATCAGGCTGAAGTGTGAGACTGCCATAGAATTTAATGAATCTCCATGGCGATCGCGATGGCTCACCTCCTTGGCGATCTCGGTGGCGGGGTCGTGGTGCATCTTGCCGTCGATGGTCACGCGGATGGGCAGCTGCGTGCCCGGGTCCATGATCTCCTCCAGCGTGTTGTACCGCACGCGCGCCACGCTGCACAGATCTACCTTCGGAATGCTCTGCTCCCGTCTCGGGGGGTGTGTGGGGAAACAGGGAACCAGCATTGCACCGCATTCACGAAGGAGCCCAAACGAGCGCAAACATTGAACCAAGTATGCAAACATGAATGAGTAGCTGATGGTGCAGGACGGGAGGTGAGGGATTTAGAGACGTACGACGAGGGAGCTGGGGATGGGCGGGGCGGGGATCGCGGTGCGCTTGGCGAGCACGAAGCGCATGACGACGCCGGTGTTGGCGTCGGTGGGCTCGCCGGCGGGGTAGGGGGCGCGCGCGTCGTTGGTGAGGATGATGTCCTTGCAGTGCCCGGCGCGCCGTTGAAGTCCACCAGAATGTCCATCCGCTCGCCCGGCATCACCAGTAGCGACGACAGCCGCACCGGCGCCGCCAGGTACCCGCCATCCGAACCGATCTGAACCGCGCCAACAGAAAAATAAAATGGATGGTAAGCGGGTTATGTACTGCCAAAATTATACTACGAGCCGCATTGGTAGAAAATGAGCGTACGAACAGGATAATCTCAAGGTATACCTGGATAATCTCAAGACTGGGGCCCTTGAGCGGGGGAATGAAGTTGGGGTAGTCGCCGCGTCCCGCGCACGTGAACTTGAGGTTGTAGAAGCGCGCGTTCGACCCGCCCAGCACGCGGAAGCGGTACAGCGCGCGGCGGACCTTGAGGTACGGCCACACGACGCCGTTGACGAGAAGGTGGTTACCAAAGTACTCGGGCACCCAGTGCGGGTGCACGTTGGGCACGAGCCCCTTGATCGGGTAGTCGATCGACCCGTTGGCGAAGAACGAGCGGTCCGCGAGCACGAGCGGCACGTAGCGCGCGCTGCCAGGCTGCGGGAGGAACTGGAGGTTCTTCTCGTCGCCCTTGGGATCCACGATGATGTACGCGCCGGCGAGGCCGGCAACGGTGTTGAGGCGCGTCCACCCCATGGCGTGGTCGTGGAACCAGATGAGCGACGCGCTCTGCATGTTGCCGTAGCGGTACAGGCGCGACTTGAAGGTGGGGCCGACCTCGCCGAACTGCGTGAACCACGTCGGGGTGCCCGTCGAAGTTGCTCGCCTGCTCGCCTCCGTGCCTGTGTATCACTGCACATGGGAAAACGCCGACGCACAATGAGACGGTAATGTGTGAGTTGGAATGATGAGGAACGACAAGGTAAGCGCGGACGAAAATGGGGAGAAGCCACAACAGGAGCAATATTTGTAGGCGTGCAACGGGAGTAGAACCGGCGGGAATTCCTGATGCAACGCACCGATGGGAATGCCGCCCATCTTGGGCTTGGCCATGCCGGGGAAGAGCGTGAAGTCGTTGGTGAACATGTGCTGGCGGTCCTGCAGCTTGTTCTGCCAGTACACCTTGGTAGGCACGCCCTTCTTCGCGATCAGGATGGGCCCCGGATACGACGCCGTATTCGCGTCCATTCCGTACGCGTACTGCTTCGTCGCCGGCAGGTCGCGGTGAAATTTCTGCGCAGGCAAAACCCGGGAAATTCAAGAATGGGTGCAAATGTTTCGTCAGAAACCTGAGATTCGCAAGGTTGATTCACGGTACCAGTGTGCTTCACAGAAGCGATTATATTTGCCGTGGCATTACTCACGTGGTAGATCTGGTAGGCGCTAATCTGAAGCGTCTTGCCGCTGGCAGCGTCGACGACGGTGGGCTTGAACGACGTCGCCATGTCGTTGACGAACTTGCACAGCGGGTATTTGGGAAAGCGGTTCTTGCACTTGGGGCCGGCGAGAGGTGCAGCTATTGACGCAGCAACCAGGGAGAACAGGCAGAGGGCGAGCAGCCCCGCCCTCTGAAGGCGCGATAAGAAAGCCATTGTAGAGCAGGCAGACCTGGTGTGGAGATTTGAACGAGTTGGTGAGGATTGTAGATTTTGTGTTCAGAAAGACGCTACTGAATTCGGCAGGGCGGACGACAACCATATTTGTACTTTCTTCCCCTGCGTACGCCCAAACGCTGTAAAATGTCCCTGGACTGAACATGCAACGCGACTCGGAAACGGGATAATCCGCGACGCATGTGCTTACGGGAAAGGTATCGAGGATGCAGCGGCGCGGATAGGGCCAAGGGCTGGCTTGCGTGCGTCCCGTAAATGTCCAGACTCCAGCGTGTGGGCTGCTGTCGTGTAAGGTGAATGTAGGGAAAGAAAAATCGCGACTCCACATTATCGGATGTCTTGTACATTATTCAACCCACTCTACAGAAACTCTTATAGTAGTTGCACAAGTTGCAATTTTGAATGCCGTTTAACCGGCTCATTCTCATAATTTCCGCAACTTTCCTAGAATTAACTAGGTGCAAGTAACACATAAGCAGGGTTTTCATTTTCTAGTATGCATAGTTCGTAGCGCACTGTCCCTCTGTAATATTTGTTACGAAGAATGTTGATTGTCCAAGGATTACCTCAGGTTGTTCGTACGGAGTAATTGCAGCGGAAGTTGACCTTAGATCAAAGTGAATGTAAAAAATATTTGTTGATAACAAAGTGTTACGGGTGCAATAAAACGAGATAGCGAGGATTGCACTAGGTGTCAAACGAGTACAAAGTATGAGCGAATGCATGAACATATACGAAACATGCAAACGGTGACGCAGTGCGTGTGAGATAGCTGGTAATAGGCTGGCATCGAGTTCGGGCTAGTCCCGAAGTGTAGGCCGACTCGGCCGGGCCAGCAGTGCATGGTTTGGTGAAACAGTGCGCGCGAAGTTGGCGAAGCCCTGTTAGCAGTAACGGGCGAACAACGGCTGCTGCTGTATGCGATGATTGAAGAACGCAGTAAGGAATGCCGGAAAAAATGTCCTTACACGATCTCCCCCCTCAAGAAGCCCCCTCCACTGCGCGAGTGCGAGTCGCGGAAACCAAGGCTCCTCAAGTACACCTGCAGGTCAGGGTGGTTTTCAATGTTGGCCAGAGGCATCCAATTATCTTTAATAGGCGTGCGTTCCTTCCAGCAAATGAGGAACTCGATCATCTTGATGCCTGTGGGTTGACAAATCCGATGGCTCAGAATCTTTTGGGCTCGACGATCGGCTCCGATGCAGGGCGAGTCATGGATAGTGGTCGGTGTCGTGGCAGTTGGCTTGTGGTTGGGATGTACAAGCGAAGTAGGCTGACGTGGAACGATGGGCTGATGTACCAGTCTGTCGGCAACAATAAATGGGCGGTAACTGAGGTGAATGTGGTTGATTTGGAACGGTCCACAATAGCACGGTCAAAGTTTTGATATAATGGGCAATCTTAAACTCTGTGTATCGAGCAGTACGTAATCCACTGACTGGTATGTTACAAGGCGGCATGGTCAGAATTTCTCTTCGCGATGATGTTGGCTTCTTATATTGTGTGTGCTGCTCATGTTCGGGCAGCCTGTAGTATCTCGGCAAACCGTTGGGCGCGTGGCGTTAGGATGTCCGGACTCAGCGTCATTGGCACTTTTGGATTTTGCCCGTAGTTCGGGTAAAATAGGGACTGCTGCGCGATCGCTGACGTGGCGTTGTTGTAGGCGAACTCGATGGGCGGCAGCTGTTGCTCCCACGTTGTCGGGTCGTCGCACGTGTCACGAAGTAGCTGCTCCATGGTCTGGTCCGTCTGGTCCGTTTGACCAGTGGTCTCAGGGTGGTACAACGAGCTAAACTGCTGTCTGGTCCCAAACTTCTCCTAGAGGTTCTTCCAGAAGTTTCTGGTAAAGTTCGTGTCTCGATCGCTGATTATCGCGGCTGGTACCCCATGCATTCGAACGACGGTTACGATGAATAGGCGAGCGGTTTTTTCAGTTGAGATCAATTTTCTGCACGCAACGACCATAACTACGTTGTTATGTCAACGACGATCATAACGTTACCCCCAGGGCTCAATCGGTTGCAATTACGCCTCTCTTTTTCGCGAGCCCTTCGCCACGTGACACATAGGTCACGACCCCATGTGGTGATGTACGGCGGTCATCAATTACGGCAAGTAGATTACCGCTGCAGTTGCTGTCGATTTTTTTCTACCCCGAAGTGACCCGAGCTAACCGCGTAGTGTGTCTCCTGCATTAACGTCCCTCAGCAATGAATACATTGGTACCTAGATGAGGTTGGTGCCTGCCTTTACGTGCGGTACTGAGCTGCCTCCACGAAATACGACGGTGCCCAGGGTCCGGTTTGTCCTTCCCGTGTCGGTAGAGTCTCATAATTCGTCAGCTTCGTGACAATGACGCTCCACCAGACCATGGCGGGTCCTCGCAGCAGCGACACAGCGTATCGAATCTTCTCTGAGTCCTCCGAGACATAGTTGGCATCGAAAAATATGTTCATCATAAGCAGTCATGCATGTATGGTCAGACCACCCTGTTGGCTTGGAATGAGGCAAGGCAGAAGCTACGGCTTGAGCGGCATCGGAGTCGACAGTGCTGACTCGCCGGTCGGCACCCAAATCATAACGCGTATTTGGCTCCTGGCTGCATTCGTTGCTTCAGGGTGTGTCGCGCCGTGGCCGTCGTCTCCATCGTTGCGGGCAACGCCATCACTAGCCGTGCTCGAGGGTTGTTCCATGCTTCTGAGTTGCGAAGCTTGACGTGCTCCTTTGTCAAACATTGCATGTTTATATTGTCTAGGCTGTAGTGGGTTACACCTTAGGGGGTACACAAAGTTAGGGTTTCCTACTTGTACCAAACTCTGTGCTAGTTCATTCATTCCTGCTCAGTTATTCTGACATGGTTTCAGAGCAGGTCCTTCGCTAGGACTGTTCTCAGGGCCCACCGTACGATACCTACCTACCTACCTACTTACCGGAGCGCGTTCTTAGCGTCTCCCCCGTAGCGCCCTCGCGAGCGTTACCTTTTTTTTCCCGGCCCCGCTGGCCCCGTCGATTGCGATCGCACCTACCGGCCCCGTTGGCCCTCTAGCGAACCGCCCGCGCACCGCCCGCGAACCGCCCGCGAACCGCCCGCGCGGCCTGCGCGCCGCCTGCGAACCGCCCGCGAACCGCCCGCGAACCGCCCGCGAACCGCCCGCGAACCGCCCGCGCGGCCTGCGCGCCGCCCGCGAACCGCCCGCGAACCGCCCGCGAACCGCCCGCGCGGCCTGCACGCCGCCCGCGAACCGCCCGCTACCCGCTGCCGGCCCGCGCGCTGCTTGCGCGGCCCGCAAGCAGCCTACTGCCGGCCCGCTGCTGCCGCTAGTGCGCACCCGCAGCCGCCGCCGCACGCACCCGCTGCCGGCCCGCCGCTGCCGCCCGTACGCACCCGCAGCTGCCGCCGCACGCCCTCGCCTGCCGGCCCGCCGCTGCCGCCCGTACGCACCCGCAGCCGCCGCCGCACGCACCCGCTACCGGCCCGCCGCTGCCGCCCGTGAGAACCCGCAGCTGCCGCCGCACGCCCTCGCCTGCCGGCCCGCCGCTGCCGCCCGTGCGCACCCGCAGCCGCCACCGCACGCGCTCGCTGCCGGCCCGCCGCTACTGACTGTCCGCACCTGCAGCCGCCACCGCACGCCGCTACTGCCGGCCTACCACCGCATCCCGTGCGCCCCTGCGACTCCTGCTAGTGCGTCTTTACAGCTACTGCGGCTCTACTTTGTTTACTACTGCTGCTACTGCTACTATCGCTATGGCTAGCCCTCCCGTTCTAGCTTTCGACGCCGAGGGCCGTCCGGTGAAGTTCGACACCTGGCTCGATGACCTACACCTGTTCCTACAGCTCACGGCCAAGGAGGATATTTCTCTGTACGACCATGCTCTCGGCCACGCTACTGCCCCTCTTACTACTGCTACCCCCACTGAGCGCTCACAGTGGCAGACCCGTGACGCGCACGCTCGCTTCGCCATACGCAACTCCCTGCCGCTAGATGAGCGCGAGCACTTCGGCCAGTGCAAGACTGCTAAGGAACTGTACACCGCTGTCGTTGCCCGCTACTCCTCACCCGCTTCTGCCACGCTAGGCCGCCTCACTCTCCCCTACCTGTTCCCCGACCTGGCCTCCTTTCACACTGTCGCAGACCTCATCACCCACCTTAAGACTAGTGAGGCCCGCTTTCGCGCTGCCATGCCTGACGAGTTCCTCGCTAGCAACCCCCCCCCGCTCTGGATCACTCTCTACCACATCGTCACTCGCCTCCCTGACTCTCTCCGCGCAGTCAGGGACCACTTCCTCTCTCGCTCCCCCACCGAGCTCACCGTAGCCCTCCTCGAGAAGGAACTGCTTGCAGCTGAGGCCAGTATCGTCGCTGTAGGCACCTCTCGTGGCGACCCTCGCGGCCCCTTCTTTGAGGGGTGTTCCCCTTCCCCCCTCCTCCCCTCTGTCGCCTCTGCTGCTGCTGTCGACCTCCTTGGTGCTGAGAAGGTCGGGACTGCGTCTGCTTCGGGCGGGCGCCGCAGGAGCAAGGGGGGCAGGGGTGGGGGTGGCGGCGGAGGAGGCGGGGGTGGAGGTGGTGGCGGTGGAGGCGCGACTGGGGAGGCTAGTGGCGGTAGTGGGGGAGGTGACAGCAACGGTGGGAGTGGTGGCAGGGGCGGAGGCGGCGGCGGAGGCGGAGGTGGTCGTGGCAGCGGCAGGGGTGGAGGTGGCCGGGGCGGAGGCGGAGGAGGTGGTGGTCGTGGAGGCACGGGCGGAGGCCAGAGTCAGCAGCCTTCCCCGACGCTTCAGGCCGCCCGTGAGTGGTATGCGCAGCGCGGTTTTACCTGCACGTATGTTATTCGCACAGGCGACCGCACTGGCCAGACGTGTGGGAGGCAGCACCAGACGCAGCGCTGCTTCGCGCGCCTCAACGACGCGTGGCGCACCCAGTTTCCTGACGCCACTGAGCTGCCGCGCTGGGCTGATCTGGAAAAGAGGGGTGTTGATATCTGGGCTCTAGACTTTGATGCTATTCTCACTGCCATGTATGCAATGTCTATTAGTGGAGAGGGTGCTCAGTACTTGCGTGTTCCGCCCGACCCGGGCATTCAGGCCAGCCCAGCTGCTGCTCTAGGTGCTAGTGTGTCTGCTCCCACAGGTCCTGCTGCAGCAGCTGCCCTAGGTGCTAGTGCGTCTGTGCCCCCTGGTACTGAG